CATGAAGTTCTAATTATCATAAGTCTACGTCAAATCCGAGATTGTATAATTGTCCCTTAAAGAAAATCTACAATATATTAAGATAGTAACGAACGATTAATCCAAGTGACTTCATTGTGTTAAACATGTATAGCTCATTAGTGAGCTACATGAAGCTAACATTCACTTGTGTCGATCATGTATAGTCGATTCATCAACCACGTAACCTAACGGTGTGATCCAAGTAAAGTTAATGTATCAATATGCGACACTAACACATGGATCCCATGATTTTTGCTGTGACATATAACATGTTTAAACTATTTTACGAAAGAAAATTATCATATTATTATTCTTCAAAAAAAAATCATTCCTGCAAACTGCGTTGGTCCGTCGAATTACCAATCATATATAATATATAAAATGGAAGAGTGTCACGAAGGACCCACATATATTAAAAAAATATAAAATTTGTACATAATATTAAAAAAAATGACGATTAATGTATAGTCAATCATGCAATCAATCAATAATTATATATGATTTGCTTTCTCCGAGGCTTGTGGTGAAAACAATGCAAATGGCTAAACAGTGCATTAATTACCTGTCGGCAATCTCTTCAATTACTTGTAAGGGCGAGTCACCGACAAAAGTATTATTGCTCAAGTAATAATACTATTTCATAATTTTTATTTGATTTTATGATATAAAGAATATAAATTATGTTCTATCATATGTTAAATATATTGATTGACTGCATTATAATTACTGTTGCATGCTGAGGATGAGGTCGGTAAAAGCCAAGCCTGCAAGGCACCGGAGATCTGGATCTACCTGGAGGACACTGTTGCTGTTGCCCATTGCTCCTCCTCAGCTAATTTAGCTTCATCTCAGATGAACTCTTCCCTGAGGTAACACAAGTCTGATGATAGACATTACCTTGTGGAGAAGACAGACGGCGATGGGACCTTTTGGTTCATCCAAATCCGGAGGTGGTGTCCTTCTTCCATGTGAAGCTCCCATGTAGATTCACCTCTCTGTCACTGTTCTTTCCAACACCTTCTTCCCAAATCTGCCCTTTCTTTTTCCCACTGTTCATCTTTTTAGTTGGAATAATGCAATGTTTCCTCATCATATATTATTATTTTATGAGGAGTAGATCTTAGATTGAAGACAACCAAAAGCCAAGCTTGCTGTAATAATATCACACAGTTGGGGCATTCACTTTCTGCTTTGCTTCCCACACTTGTCATCCCTGCCATCATCATTTCCTCCGCACTCAGCTAACATTCCTCTCTCTCTCTGTCTCTCTCTCTCTCTCTCTCCGACAATGAGGCGGCAGCAGCTCCTCGTGTACCAGCTCTTGATCTTTCCACTACTGTGCGTGCCTCTACCGGAGGCCTCCGGCACCGCCCCTAGCGGTGTCGGCAGGGTCATCCACATCGGGTCAGCGATCTCGTCCCTGGCGGCCAAGGGCCCTGCGGCAGCACCCCCCAAGCAGACCAACCTCACGTCGGTCATGGCGAGGAAGGGATGCGCTACCTTCGCGGGCCTCCTGGCCTCCACCGCCGACGCGGAGCAGACGTTCGTGAGCAACGTGGACGCGGGGCTCACCGTGTTCTGCCCCCTCGACCAGGCCATGAAGCCCTTCCTGCCCAAGTTCAAGAACCTGACCGCCGACGGCAAGCTGTCGCTTCTGCTCTACCACGCCATCCCGGTCTTCTACTCCATAGAGTTGCTGAAGACCGGCAACGGCGTCATGAACACGCTGGCCACCGACGGCACCGCCAAAAACTACAACCTGACGGTGCAGAACGAAGGGGAGCAGGTGACGCTGAAGACGAGGCTGACGGTGTCCACCATCACCGCCACGCTTATCGACAAGGACCCCCTGGCGGTGTACGCCATCGACAAGGTGATGGAGCCGGCGGAACTGTTCAAACCGCCCGAGGCCCCCGCTCCGGCGCCAGCGCCGGAGGCGGACAAGATGGCGGAGGCGCCCAAGGCCAGGAAGTCAAAGAGGGCATCGCCGCCAGCACCGGCAGGGCCGGAGGAGCAGCCAGCGGATCAGAAGGCAGCCGACGAGAGCGCTGCCGGGAGGACTGGCGTGGCCGCGTTGGCGGCGGCTGTCATTGCGACGGCGGTGGCGGTGATTGCGGCCTGAGCTTTCTATCTTGCTTCCTGTTTTTGCTTTCGAGCTTTTGCTTCGGGAAACAAAATTAACATGCGCTTTAATTTTGTTTCCGCTTCTCTGTGTTTTGTGTGTTGGGAATGCTTCTTGCGATCGGTGTTGCCTGTTCTGTACTAAGCATGCTCTCTCTCATAGTGTACTTAAAAAGGGATAAAGCTCTTATCAATGGATTGCATTGTGATTTGTTTTTAGTGCATACACTCATAAAATTTTAATCAAAAAAATTCCATCCTCCCCCTCCTTTATGAATCAGATCTCTGCTTGTTTGGGATTGCAGAAATATGATTTACAACAACAATGAAATCACTTTAGATTGATGAGGAAGGAATTGTTTGTGCAACAGCAGGATATGGTTAGAATCTCAAATTAAAAGCTTCTTTCTTTGACTTGTATAAATTTCTGAAGGCATCTTTAGCTTCTTTGTGGTTCTTAGCTTCTGCTGCAATCTTATGAGGAATTAACAAAAGGAATTGCTTACTTTGAGGAGATTCGAAGGAAGGGGTCAATTGTCCCAAACAATTATGTTCACAGGCAAGGAGAGTTCTTCCAAGTGGGACTGAAACAGAGCTTAGAACTTGAGCAAGACAAACAAAGAATAGCAAGTTTGGCATCTGAGAATAGATCAAGTTATGGGAGTGAAAGAATAACTATGAGCTATTGCAGAATTGAGTGATGGAAAATGGATTCATCCCATAATAATTTGTCATATATCAAACAACCTTATTTCAAAGAACTTCTTCCCTCTAGTCAAAAGAATGCAAGTGTGTAGTCAAACTTTATTACCAGTAGACTCTCTCTCTCTCTCTCTCTCTCTCTCTCTCTCTCTCTGTGATGTCCACATCTGGGTGGGTCTTCACTAAGTTGAACAAGACAGACATGGCTAAAGTGTCAGATCTTTTCTTTAACCATGGACAATTTTATTTTATCATCCAATATTTCATATTTGGAAGGAACTGTATGAAGAGGAAAAAGAAATTGTTAATTAAGGATCATGTGTTCTAACAATCTCATATGTATCATTAGGGGTTTTTGATCTTTGTGTGGATAGAGATAAATGCTCCACATAGAGAGATTGAGGGAGAACTTTTCAGGATCTGTGATATAAATCATGTAAGAGTTTACAAACTCAAGTTTGGGCTAAATCAAAACAGAATTCATCATTCTTACAAGAATTTGATTATCTCCAATCATATAATCCTTATATGCACTGTAACTAAAAACAAAAGTAATGCCAAATTCCTGAATTATAAACCTGATCTGTGACACCTTTTCAAGCACAGAAACATAAACTGCAGGAAATGGAAGTGGTGGTACAATGAGAGCTCTTATTGATGGCCACCAACCTGTGTTGTGCAGGAGGGCAAGTTCTGCACATGTGCTTCTGAGTTCTGACAAGGCCTTTCCCTGATGATTGAGCTCAAAGAGAGTAGCAGAAACCAACACTGCATGACTCCAGCAAAAGAGATACAGCTGATAAGAAATCTTTCTTTTGGGTGGAGAAAAGTTGATCCAGTCTTGACAATGACTGGATCAAAGTTTTGTGAAGACTAGAAGCAGAACATATGAATGAAATAAAAGAAATATGAAAGAAAAGGGAAAAATAGTAACATCAAAACCTTCACAAAGTTTACACTAATAGATCTACTGATTTATATTCCTAACATTTCCCCTCATGTCATCTGAAGGCTCTATTGATTTATGTTATTAATGATTCATGTATTTTGAAGTATAGTTTGTAGCAGAGACTAAAACCAAAAACAAAAAGCATACTGCAAAAATCAGAAACAAGGTCATTGTTGTCATGGTACTGAAAACTAGAGTGAGTTTGCACCCCCACAGCACAATGATCTGTACCAAAGGCTTAAGAAGAAGTTTTGACTCCTCAACAGTTTGCAGATATTTCCTGTACCAGATGAGCTCTGTTCAATCACATGCTATATATGCAGCTGTGGATCAATTCCTCTAGAGTTACCAACCACTATAATAATGTGAGTTCACAGGTTCTTTCCTAACAACTTCAGAATTTCTGATTTGTAGTAATAAAATCAAATATTTCTCATGTTATCAGTGAATAATATGAGTTCAAATTTTACATTTCTCTCTCTTTATTTTTCATGATGTTTAATTAAGACTTTTGTGATGTCTGTGTACCAACTAGTGACCAATTTGATGCCTACTTGTTAAGCCTTGTTGTAAATGATAAGGTTCAGTAGACTTTATATGAATTAATAAATCATAAAAATATCAAGGTTTTAAATATTAATATATATTATCGGTTAATTATCGGTCCGAGTACCGGTGCCAAATATATATCTTGATGCCGATACAATTTATTACATTATTTAGGTAGAATTACAATGCATATTATTATAAGTGTTTGGACCAATCTTTAGAACCTTGTAACCATAAATACCAAAATAAATCACATTGGAAGCTCAAAATAATTACATTGATATTCATGATCAATGAAATATTCCTGGTTACCAATTTTGTATTATGCATTTCAATTTACTTATTCGAATTGATAAATAAATTATTACAAAACATCGATCGATAATGTGTCGATCTAATGTATTTAAAATCTTGCTAACCAGATCATCATACTTAGATATTCCAATATATCCAAATGCTTCATCATTGTACATTCATGTCATCGTTGAAGTCAATAACATTTTTTCATTTGGAATAAAAAAATTATACCCAATTATTTTAACCAAAATCACTTCTTCCAATAAAGACATTTATATAGTACAGTTCAGCAAAACCATTTGGAATTGGCACAAAAAGAAAAAAATGCAATTTGTAGAACAGATGGGAGGGATATGACAGCCAAGTAGAAGGATCCCTTTGTGTCCATTTAACCGCCAATTAATACATAACTGATACAAAAAGGAGAAGAGATCAAGTTTCTATCACTACTTCCACATTTCAAGTGTCAATGTCACATATCATCTTGCACCGGAGAGTTCTATTGCATCTTGATTATACAATGAGTCCTCACCCCAATCAAATCTTCTCTGCAGCCTCTCGTATTCTTGCCTGACCTCAACTTGCTGCCACTCTTCCCACCTCTCGGCCAGACCCTCTCCTTCTAGCATCCGCACGACTTCTGACATTGTTGGGCGGTCCTCTGGCGACGCCTGCGTGCAAAGAAGAGCGACCTGGATCATCATTTCAACCTCCTGGCCGTCGTACTCATTGTTGAGGTTTCGGTCGACGATATCACCCAGTCGCTTTTCCTTTTGTAGCTTCTTCACCTGCAAAAGAATCATGCAGGAAGTTGACATACACCATGAATGGAACTGACAAAATATCCATCTACCATACTTTGCTGCAGAAAAATGGAAATTATAATTAACAGAAACGGCATTCATTTGGGCAAGCACCACCTACAGGAACAAATACAACCATAGATATACCATGCCCAACACACAGGAAGATATCTTTACTGTCCAGATGCTACAAGTGTTTAATTATTATTGCATCTATGCATGATTTAACTAAGAAAATGCAATTGCAACCATTGAATTGTCAAAAAAAAATGATAACAACCAAGGTAATTCAGCTTACATGATCAAGCAATAAAACATCATCTTCTTCCTCTAGGCGTGAAAAATCAATTGCACGCTGTCCTGTGACAAGTTCCAGAAGCATGATTCCATAACCAAAGACATCAGTCCTCTCAGATGATTTCCCAGTGGATAAATACTCAGGTGCTATGTGACCCATAGTTCCACGAACTTGAGTTGTGACAGATGTCTTTCTCACATCTACCAATTTTGCCAAGCCAAAATCACCAACAACAGCCTCAAAGTCCTCATCAAGTAAGACATTTGCAGCTTTAACATCACGGTGGATTATTTTAGGACTGCAATGTTCATGGAGGTACTCTAATCCACGAGCAGTGCCTAATGCCACTCGTTTTCTGGTAGGCCAATTTAATACTGGCTCCCCTGGTTTAAAATCTGCAGTCATCAAGACAGCAAGACTATAGTCAGAATCAAAAGTATGATGCATAACAGAATTCTGTGTTCAATACACCAAATGGTTATCTATAAATGATTTTATACTCATCCAGAACCTATGACATGTACCACTAAACATATTGACACGTTTCCAAAGTGCCACTTGAGCTACTAGAGGGCCAGATAAAATTATCACTTATGACATGTACAACAGCACTATTCACTCATGGGTCTCTTTGGAAGAACATAATCACTAATTTATCTAGTATAACAGAATACCAATAAAATGATTAAGTACTAATCCAGTAACCAGTGTCCAAAACAACTCCATGGCATTCCTTACCGATAACTAGTAGTTCTTCAATAGATTGCATGACTTTAAACATTGTAGCTCCTAACTTACGGGCCACCAACTATCAAAGAGTCATTTCTATCTCTTCGCTGGAAGGTCAAAAAATTAATCTGACACCTGCTATAGCACCACCCATCAGTCTGATCAAAATGCCATGTGCACAGCTTAAAATTGTGCAACAAGACCTAGCAGAACTGAAACTAGATGTGAGCTTTTCTTCAAAAATGAAAAAGGAAGATTGAGGGGTCACGATGACATAGAATTTGCAGAAAAATCATCAATTAATTGAAATAATTCCAACAAAATTCATTCCGTGCATACAGTGACAATATATCGATCTGAGATGAATGGTAGCCAAGACATAAAAAACATGTAAGTCACATAAAAATTTAAACTCACACGCATGGAGTAATTCCCATTATCACTTTGATCATCCATTACTCAAGTTAACATGTAACAATATGGTGAATATGACGCATTAGTGGACACTTCAAGACAGTAGTAACTAAAAAGGACTAGTACCTCGTAGACGGTATGCAACACTCAAATTTTGCATAAAAGGATAGACCAGAAGCCTTTCTGTTGGTGTCGTGCAGAAGCCAATCAACCTCAAAAGATTTCTGTGGACAGCTACACTTATCATCTCAACTTCACGTAAAAAGGCAGCTTCCCCTCCTGGACTCTCATAATCAGTCAACCGTTTGACAGCAATTTTTGTGCTATCTGGAAGCACTCCTTTGTATACTTTTCCAAAACCACCCTGTCCAAGGACATTCTTTTCACTAAATCCATCTGTTGCAATCTGTAATTCTCGATAAGCGAATCTTTTCAATTGTCCAAAAGCAATTCTACGATCATCTTCACCTACATATAATAGTGATGACAACTGATCAGGTAAATTCTGCAAGATGACAGTTCAGTGAACAAAGATTTATATTTACAATGATGTACAAGATGTTCTGACTACTAAGCCTTAGCCAGCACATGCAATAATAATGTAACAAAAAAGCAATGTATTTTAATGTATTTTTGCAAAAAATGATCAAGAACTAATGCTCGATTCTTCCTCCGCTCATCTCCAATTTGAATCATTGAATGTTGCAAGGTACAAATGACTTTTACTCGGAATTTTCAAAAAGAAACAGATACATAAATAAGATATGAAACCTGCAACATCTACAAACTCTTCTCGTCGATAGCCTTTCCTCCGGCTCTTGCATATAAGAAATACAACCCCTATAACAAGGAGTAATATAACACCTCCAACAATTCCAAGCACAATTCCTATTTTTGAATTTGGTGATTTTCCTGCCAAGACAAAAATGTATGGTCAGTTTTCTAGAACAACTTGCAAAACCTTATTTTACTAAATAGTCAATTTTCCTGCAAATACTGAAACTTCAAATTTGAAGCCCAATGATGTACGATGTTAACCTTGAACAGACACGCTCGAAGCACAAAGGTGCTGCTGATTTGTACCACAATTCAGATCGTTACCTGTAAAGCTGCACCAAATAACCAAATCGGATATGAATACAAAGACTAGAGCACATGCCTGCCTGCATGCATTACAACAAACTGCTCATACTTGTATCTGGCTACTTGAAATAGTTCGTCAGGTATCTGTCCAGATAGGCCATTGAAAGCTAGACGACTGCCATGAACAGTTGAAGCAAAGAAGAGAAAAGAATGACTGCATATTATGCTTTTAAACAGAAAACAGAACAAAAACACTACTTTTACATTTCCCTGAAAATGAGTTGTTCATTCCACAAAGGAATTATATACTTACATGTCATTTAGTGCAGTGAGATTTGTAAGAGAATCAGGAATTTTCCCTGTAAGATTATTTTGACTAAGAATCCTGAGTGATGTCAACAAAGAAAAAAAAGTTAGCTTTGAAGTATGATTAGATGGTTTGGATCAGTCAATTACTATCCTACTGACAAAATCTGAAGCTTAGCAAGCTTGCCAAGGGAAGCTGGTATCTCTCCACTGAGACGGTTAATTTCCAAATCCAAGTTTGTCAAACTAGAGAGGTTTCCGAACTGTTCAGGTATTCCACCAGTTATATTGTTGCCAGGCAACGACCTGCATAAATTATACATCAAATAATTTAGAACAAGGCTCACTGGAAAATCAGACAAAAGTAGCTCCACATATGATAATAAGTCTGACCACTTCACACATGTTTGGTTAAGTGCATAATAAGTTATATAAGGGCAAAGGAAATGATGATATTTTTCCACATATGTACAGAATAACTATCATATCAATTGTTACTTCACCAGTCCCTTGATAAGTTGGTATCATGGAAACAAAGAAACAACAAAGGGAACCCCTAACATATATCTAGCACATAAGCAATGACAAATGATCTCTAAAATCAAACTGATCATTAGTGCAGGACAGGTTATGATTCACCTCAATTTTCCTTTCTTCGTCTTTTGTCCTTTACTTTTCTTTTTCCAAGTTAATATCGTTCTTAATCCCATAAGTCATGGTACTTATATATGCAAAAAGAATCATGCCTAATATTTAGAATCTCTAGATGCTAGAATGTTCTGCAAGGCACTATTGTCATTCTGTTTATAATTTCTGGTTTGCACTTCTGTTTCTATTTTATTATTTACTTTCCTCTTTGCCTATATGTGTGTTTGTTGGGAGGTAGGGCTTTGAGACCAAAACAGTTGGCTTTGATTTTGAAGAAGAATTTTTCTTGCTATTTTTAACATGAGCTAGAGACGTCGTCATGACTATCTCGCTTCATCTTAATTTTAACAGACAAAAATAATCAAATAAAAGAACTCCTCCTCAAAGAAGCATAAAGTTGAACTGTGTAGCTATGATAGGTTTCACTGACCACAGGTTGGCCCCTATCATCGAATTTGGCTTTACCAGGAGAATCATACCATACAATGCAAAGTCTACAGTCATGTTAAAAATGATCAAGGGTATTGATTTTGGTTAATTGTACATATTATAGAAAGACGAAAATGTTTGCAATGTATTCAATTCTAAACGGATGAAATACATATGCACATCACTGCACACGATACTACTAGCTTATTAAATGTTCTGAAATATAAATTATACTTACAAAACAGTTAGATACTGCAGTTCTCCAATTCTTGGTGACAAGATTCCATTAAATCCCATGGAAGACAATGTTCTGAGGCAACAAAAGTAACATATAATGAAGCAAATTTAGCATGCACACTCTGGACCAAAGAGGCCAATAGTTCATTACAGCTGAAGTTAAGATTCTAGATGATAAATTATATTAAGTCATAACAAGGTGCAGAACAAATGACATACACTTGAACAACATTATTGTTACTGTCACAGATAACAGAGTTCCATGTGCAAGGGTTGACTTGATTTTGGTTCCAATCAATGAGCTGATTACTAGTCGCATTTAACTTAATCTTCATGTCATATAATGCATCACCTGGAAATAGATCAAGATTACACATATGTCATCATAATTAATAGAATAAATATAGGAGAGAGAAAAACTGAAAATAGAAACAAAAGATGTGAAACCACAAAAAAGTATCTTAACCAGTTCATAAGAAGAAATATTTCTTTGTATTTTGTCAACTAACACAGATCCCTCAATCATCAGTTGTCACTTCAGAGAAATTTAAATTGTATATTGACCAACTCAGATATATGTAAAATTCAAGCCGTATTAAAAACTGGAAATTTTACCTTAAAGTAGCATTCCATTAACATAAGGTTGCTAGATAGACTCCTAAGTCCTAAGTAACATCAAAGCTGCTAGAAAGACTCCCAAGTAACATCAAAGTTGCTAGAAAGTCTTCAAAAGAAGAGGCAAAAGGGAAATAATGCAGAAAGGTACAATATAGTCTTTGGCTTTTCTGGAGTATCTTATTACATGTTAAGTTCTGCCAGTGAGTTCATTTATATATTAAAATCCAGTGACTCCTAATGGAGGAGGCAGATGAATACTTTGTTCAAATTTTAAGTGCTGCCAGAGGCTACATATCCTGAATATCAGTTTTTGCACCAGTTCAGTGAAACTAGCATAAGTTATTTGTGTTCTGCAAATTCATGTTTGGTTGGTGAAAACAATCCTAAATGTTGATCAGCTTGTCTACCATGATAACCTTAAGTTCGATGTTTATGTTCTATGACATCTATGATTTCCCAAAACATTCTAACATGCTTACGTGTAAAACAAAGATATTGGCTATACAAGATCATGACAAGCTGAAGTTGATTGAGAATGGAAGACATAATGAGTTACACTTTCATTTTCATCACTGGCTTATTATATAGGTGAATAAACCAGCAAACGTATACAGAATGTAATATACCCAACCTTAGAATCTTTATTTAGGTTGGCAAATCATGTCAGTGGTGAAACTCCAAACTTCCATGTAAGCAAAGAGGTTAAAAATCTCAATCCATTCTCAGACAATAAAAATCTAAAAAAGAAAAAAAATACAACAGCCAAGTAAGAACAAGTGCTTAAGAAATTATTAACTACAAATAAGTATCCAAGCAGTCAGTCTAAAGCCAGTGGACATAGTTCCTCTTTGTATTATCTGCAAATGAATTGAATGTTTAGTTACTTCTAAGAGAAAAAATGAACATTGTGTATCAAACACTAATAGGGAATAGGTAGCATCTAGAGAGTCGTATATAAGTTGCAACATTTATAAAGTAATAAATCTTTGACTACTTTCTCAGATACCCAGAAGAGGGGACTTCATACATAAACCGATAACCTACAAAGGCCTGAAATTTTGTATTTAAAAAGGTTAAAAACTATTAATCTCAGAGTAGAAACACGCACTTATGCCTCTTGCAAATAACATATATGCATATTTCTGTGTGAAATCCAACATTGCAGAGCATATATCTCACATATAGATATTAGAAGATAATCAAATTGACAAAATTAACGTTTTCACAACTTTTAAACACAAGTATAAAAGCAAGTGGAGCACCTTGACGATCAGATTCAACCCTGGATTGCAGAGATATCAACACACAGAGTAGATAAACCACCTTCATATTTCTAGATAGCATCGCCTCTTGCTCGTTTAATCAATTTAGTCGTCAGCTGAGGGAAAACCCCTACAAGAATAATTTCTTTTGTTACCACAGAAAGATTAAGTCTACTACATAGTAAATAAAGATACTCAATTAAAGATTCGGAGAAAGATATGTAGACATAAACGGAAAGTAGATGACCCTTAGGATGCGTGGCACGACCTCAGGCTTACTCCGAAAAACCATTTTCAAGTTTGCAGGAAGCATGTGTTGTAAAGATAAAGGAACTCAAATTTTCAGTCTTCTTCTTCTTCTGGGTTTCACCCTTTTTTTCTTTTTTTTTTTCTTTGCCTTTTTCTTTTCATGTGAGATTAATTGGATTAGGAGGTTGCCGAAGTTTACAGAACAGCCAAAGAAGTAAATGCTACTACCCATATCTCACAAAGACCTTTTCTTTCTGCAAAGGCAATTTGGGGTCAGAACTATCTTCTTCGTCTTCTCTAACAAGCTGTAACCTTTTTCTGAATTCCGCCTCATATTAACTCCAATAGATGCAAAAGAGAATAAATTCTCTCAAATACATACTTCCACCAACCACCACGCGTGATCTCAGAGCAACAAACAATCGGCGAAACCGAATGTCCTCGGAGGCGATGGAAAGGGGAAAAGGGAACGCAAGAACAAGCGATCACACATGATTTCTCGAGAGAACACATCCGGGATCCGGATTCCGGGAGCGAAAGAAGATTAAGCAAAAGGGGAAAGAGATCCAGCGGCAGAAGCAGGAGAAAGACACACCTTTGCCGAGCGAAGCCCCATCCATTAATAGCACGACAGTGATCAGCTCCCCCCCACTTGAACCCTGCGCTGATCTACTTGGGGTTATGAGAGAGAAAGAGAGAGAGAAAATTGCTCTTCACACATCCGCTTTCACACAGAGGGAGCGAGAGAGAGAGAGGCAATCACACATTCGCCTACCCTGGAAGCGTACCCGTGTGGAAGGGCAAACAAAAGCGGGGCCCACAATTTTTGCTCCGAAGGTCGTGTGGAGAAGTAGAGAGAGAGAGTTGCTGTTGACGCATCAATCGAACCCGAAAGCATACTCGTGTGGCAATTAGGGGTTGCTTATTTCCTCTCCAGACTCTGCGAGAGCGAGAGAGAGAGAGAGAGAGAGAGAGAGAGAGAGAGAATTGCTCTTTGACACGTCAGTATAACCACCCAAAGCACTCTACCGCGGGCATCCGGGGGAAACGAAAGCGGGGCCCACATCTTTGGTTGCTTATTTCCAC